CTGCAAATCACACCAGCCCCTGCCTTGACCTGACCAAGGGTCTGGTATCCTGCCAACCTCAGTGCGGCCAGCATGGAGGGGGACGCAGGGCTACTCACACCTCTGACTCTTTCTCTGTGTGACCCTGGTGCATAGTTGTGGCTGTGTCTCACCTGCACAGTCAGAATCCCAACAGCTCAGACAGGCGTGGAGGGCAGTGGGGGAATTGCCCATAGTAGATTTTTGTCTCTGGACACCAGCTCTCCCTCTAGCAAACACGGCTTCAGGAGAGGTGGGCAGATGGGACTCTCAGCTTTCCTCCTTCCCGACACTGTGTTCACTTCCTGACCTGACACGGAGCCGCCTGTGCAGCCTGGCAGGTGATCTGTGCTTTTCCGTTTCACTCCCAAGCTTTGCCTAAGTAGATGTGATTTCCTAAGAGGAGGGGTAGCTTTGCCACTGTTTGAATTGAAGTGGAGAATGGCTGGCACTGCCTTTGCAGAGGTGAAGTGAGAGAGTGTCCTGGGCAGATGAGGGCAGGGCTCAGAGCAGGGGGAGGGGGAGGGATGCGCAGAGCCACTCTGTGTTCTCACATGTGAGGAGACTGTGAGCTCCTCACGGAGGTCAGAGTAGGAGTCAGAGTTGTACTGCAGGATTGTGATGGAGAGGCTGGGGCTTGGCTGCAGAGCTCAGAGCTCTGAGGATAGAGACACCAGCCAGGAAAGCTCAAACGCACTGCCTTTTCTGTGATGATTTATTTAGAGTGGGGAAAGCAATGGGGTACATGGGCTGGGAGACACCAGGTTTCAGAGAAGATTACAATCTCATTTTCTGTTGCACACGAGGCTCAGCAGCAGAATCTGTAGATTTGTTTGCCGTAAATGCAGGTGCCCAAAGAGTGTTCCCTATCCTGGCAGTCTCCTATTCGGCAGTAACAGTATCGTCCAGCCTGGAGCCCTGGGGGCACAGAGGAAGCATTAGTCAGCTGGCAACGTGGACAGCAGTGAGGGCTGACAGTTTTCACAAGGCAGTTAACAGAGGGGTTTCCTGATGTCCATGTGTCACAGAGCGCAGCATTTACAACCACAAGTCATGGGAGTCAACACACACGCAAGAGTGAGTGACACACACACTCCAAACCCTTCCTCATTCATTTTTACTTCTTTCTTAACCTGTGTGTGTTCCTAAGGCTTGACTCAGGGCTCAGTGTTCTTGTCTGGCTTTGTCACTCAAAGCTAGTGCTCTACAATTTGAACCACATGTCTACATTTTTTAGATAATTGGAGATCAGAAACTCATAGGCATTTCTTCCCTGCCTGATTTTCAACCATAATCCTCAGATCTCAGCCTCCTGAGGAGCTAGGATTACAGCAGTGAGCACCAGTCTCAGCGATCTACAGTTCCAGGTGTCCACTCTGCAACCCACAAATATCTAAACACACCCACATATCTCCATCTAGTAACCAACCCTCCCCACCATGCTGTGGATGGTGACCCATGCT